AGTCTGACATCGGCCATTCACGCGACGGGTCACGGAAATCACAAGTGCCCGATCAATACTGCAAGGTGTTCTCCGATCCTCCCGCCACTTCTGTGATAGTGATGGCTGGGTGACGACTGCTCATGATTCCACTTGTTTCATATTCAGTGTTTCAAATGGTCCAATGGGGTGCTTGCAATTTTTGCGATCCGTCGCAGGTTTCGCTGATTTTCGCGATTGTGGCGGTTTTTGCTATTTGCGTTTTTCGCGATTTTTGCGAAACCTGCGACGGATCGCAAAAATTGCAAGCACCCCATTGGAAAATTTGAAACCTTGAATATGAAACAAGGGGAATGAGCAGTCGTCACTCAGCCATCACTATCAAGCAGAAGTGGCGGGAGGATCGGAGAACACCTTGCAGTACTGATCGGGCACCTGTGATTTCCGTGACCCGTCGCGTGAATGGCCGATGTCAGACTTTGCGATTGGAGCGATTGTGCACCAATTGCAGGCGAGCGAGCGACGGGAGATTTACACGGCCGACCACCGATAATTCGGCGCCATCAGCTCGTAAATCTCCCGTCGCTCGCAGCTCCCTGCCACAACGGCCAAGGAGGCACATCACGGCCCGAGCGATGGATCGCTTGAGCGATGGTCGCGAGCGACGGGAGATTTACCCGAGCGGCGCCGTGTGTATCGGTGGTCGGCCGTGTAAATCTCCCGTCGCTCCAACCGCAAAGTCTGACATCGGCCAATCGCGTGTTTGCGAAAATCGCGAAAATCGCGCAAATCGCGTGAATCGCGCAAATCGCGAAGATCAACAAAACCTGCGACGGATCGCGGACTCTGACACCAGCCTTACGACAGCATTCGAACAATGGGGCAATTCAAAGAAGGGTGTCTGTGGATAGCCTCACGTTCTGGAAGCTAGCGTCCCACATAGAGAGCATCAGATGTGAGGGCCCCATTTTATATGGTAACAGCAACTGACAACTGAACATAGCGTATAATCACTCCAAAGGGACTTACCTTTTCGGTGGTCGACGACGAACACCATTAGGCTTTGCACACGCTTTAGCGTCGTCAATAGTGACCTTAATATCGACATTTAGTTGAAACAGCTCCTGAATTATTATTGAACACAACCTAAACTTACTTCCGTCTTGTCGTAGAGCCTTGCATTCGCTCTTAAACGTTGCAGTGCAGCCCATTCTCGTCGGCTATGATTCTGCGCAAACACTTCACAGCTAACAGCACGTGTGGATATTGATCGGCGAACTGTTGGGAAGAACTCCGTGAGTTTGTGGGATTGCTAAAAGTAAACATGTAACACACGCAAAAAATTATATGTACAGAGTTAACGATCAAGGACACACTGTGCATACTGACCATGCTTTCGATCTTTTGGCTTCGTCGTCTACTGCGGCCAACCTCTTGTGAAAACCGTTTTGAAGTCCATCCACACTCCCGCATCAAGATGCTCTATAATCAAGAATATGAGCAGTAGGACTTTGCAATACCAAAAACTAAAGCGTAAAGCGATCACGCTCCAGCAAACACTCAGAGGCACAGTTTCCACTCCTTAGAGTAGAAAATAGCTACCGCGATAAGGAGTATTACAGGTTGAAAGTGTCAAGCTTGAGTGGAGAACAATACATAGAAATAAAACGTTAACAGTGCTATAAGCCATAGCGTATTTTGCTTCTGTAAGCTTGTGATACAGTAACAGTGACTGAAAAGCTTTCTTATAAAAACAAAGAACAAAAACTGCGTGTCACTCGAGCGACATATAGAAATACCACACGGAGCCAACCAGCTTTTCACAATAAATTATAAACATCAGCAATTTTGTTGGTTGCGAAGACTTTTTTCCCATTTTTGATTATAACCTACCTTTTTGTTTACAAATCCTGACCGGTTGTATATCTACCATAAGTGTCCACTACTTTCTCCAATGCAATAGAAATTATCTCAGTGCTCCTTCTTCCAAACGCGACAGAGTAAGGGTCAGAAAAGCATGCAAACTTGCTTTGAAATCAAAGTTGATCGCCTAATTATTTCATGGTCGACAGATAATGAAGAAGGCTCCGAATGAACGGTGGCAACCATTGTCAGATTTTGCAGGAATTATGCTGGAGAAGCTTAACTACTACACGTATTGACGACACCGCCTTGTCGAACAATAAGCCTACTCACATTATTTTAAAAATTTGCATTAACAGTTACTACATTACCAATAATTTCATTAGTGGTAACGAACAGAGAACTATTTTTTGTATCCAACAGTAGGAAGGGCCAGTCTTGAATCATGAAAATGGAGGCACAATTTAGGAAAAACAAGTCTCTTCCGTGTGAGAGTGCGGGACGTATGTGTCCCGCGCTGTCGTCAAAGTGTTAAAAAACTGCATCGCAGCTCCAGAATTTCTTGGCGGCTTCATTTCGGAACATGGTGATTCGCAATGTCATGAAGGAAATTAATATTGCCGCGGCGCGAGCGCTTTTGAGTGGCTGCTTTGGCCAACTTCTAGACTTCTCCAGCGTGAACCCCTCATCCACATTATGACACATACGAAAATTGAGTCCGAAGGCATGTATTTGGTGATTTGGTAATTGAGTTGCGATAGTGATTGCTTTCCTATTTAGAAATGCCAGGAGATGGATCAAAAGCGTTAGCACAGGTGAGACATGCTGTAGCGGTGAACGACATTTGCGTTGAAACTTTCCCAGATAGTGTTGTACGTTGACATGAATTCTATTACAGTTATGGAGATATTTGTACTAGACAATGACTAATACAGACTGACTACTGAGTTTCCTTGGACTTCCCCAAAAAACTACTATATTGCTGAGGCCTATATCAAACAAGAGGTCGAACAGGAAAGCTGAAAATGACTCAACAAGTTTAGTAGTATTAATTATTAACTTCGTAACTTTCACAAAAAACGAGATATTATGATCAAGAAGGTATGTATGCAGACATATGCATTGCGCGACCCGCATTCGTGAGGGAGCGCGAAGGAAATAGAATGAAATACACAGGCAGTAAATTTCATAGAACGCGATCAGCCCAGAAAAATCAAAAGATTGACAGGTAACAAATTATTGCACAAACCAATAACCGGTCCATGAAAAGTCCGACCAAATAAACCACACTCACCTCGACTTTGGCCAAATTCCGTTGCGGAACAGCAGGTAATTCTTTCTTTTCTTTTACTTCAGGACAAAGATATATCGATGTGGCCTCACTATAAAAAGAACCACATAAAATATTGCGGTAGGAAGTAAATTGAAAAGAACCCTACATGAATATGTCGGAATTGGGAAAACCCTCAGGCAAAACAATTTTAGATTTTCTGAGCTTCTTCTTGATATTGCTGTCACTAGCGCGTATTGGGATCTCTCCTCGGAAATAACTTCTGAAACATTTGCAATCAGAAACTGACTTGTCCCTTGTATTCCACATGCACCTGAAGCATGCGCGAGTGAATACATTACTTTTTGCATAACTCACCCAAATCTATCCAGAATTGTAAGGGCATGATCGTCGTCGTTGATAGAGAACTCAGAAATGATTTCTCTAGCGGTAACAATTCCTACTCGACTCACACCCCCTTGTAGATAATCACAACCAATTAAAAGCGCCAACGCTACCAGGCGGTTTCTTGTTAAGCCTGAACAAGGAGGCCGTTAAGCAATCTTACGCCAAACAATTGAATTCGATTAATAAACAGTACATAGTCACAAGGGTGTGGTTCACTAGGACAGAAAGCGACTTTTTCGCGTTTCGCAGCGCGAAACATTTTCGCTGCGGGAACCTCAGGTCCACCGCTGATCATCAGTGGACCCGAGTTCCCGCAGCGAAAATTTCGCGCTGCGAAACGCGAAAAAGTCGCTTTCTGTCTTAGTGAACCACACCCTAGTCACAATAGTACATGCATGAACCCAAACTCACACTGCGTGCTTTCAAATTTGTCCATGGAGAAGAGATTAACGAAGCCTTCAACGTCCTTTCCACCATTCTTGAAATCGACCTACAATCAATTCGCGAAAATATTTTAAGAACTCAAGACAAAATAACAGACCAAGTGAGAAATACTGAGTTTGGAGAGCTAATATAATTCAACTAGCACGAAAAATGTACACGGGAACTCCGCTTGATTGGCCGATGTCTGACTTTGCGAATGGAGCGATCTTGCACCAACTGCAGGAGCGACGGATCTCTTGAGCGATGCGAGCGACAGGAGATTTACCCCGCCGAATGCCGATACACACGGCGCTGCTCGGTCTC